CGCAGCTCCAGGCGCTGCCAGGCGGCCGCACTCGCGGCGCTTATTGCGCGTTAAGGTACATCAAGGGGAGAACCCCCCCCGCTGCTGCTGCAGAATACAGCATGGCGAAAAGAGCACGTCCCTGTAGATCAGCTGTCTCTCGGGCAAATCCCCCTGTCAAAGAATGGAAGCGCTCCAAAGTCAAGTCAGTAAAGTCCTTACAGCGAGCTACATCACAGGCAGAGTTTGACTTTTGCAGCAAGTAATGCGAGGGAGCTGTATTTTAATAAATTTGAGGTGCCTTTCTAAAATCTTTGTCATTTTTCCCCTGAAATTCCATTAAAAGGCATCATTTTATTCAGCTACAACTTCACTTAATCCCTGGCATGGCGTGGGAAGTCCATGTTATGATCCACAGAAAATTTCCTTTAGATTTTTAATGGTGTCATTCTGTACCAGAATGCAAAGCTCGATACATGAAGATTTATGTGGAACAAATTGTTTAGAAACACTCACTTTTTGAATAAATAAATCAGGCCAATTTTCAGGTGGGTGCTAGTAGCTAGCGTCCCAGCTAACTCCTGTCCGGCCGGAGAGGCTGCCGGAGGCTGACGCGCTTGGGCCCTGCCAGCGGCTGGCTGCTGGCCAGGAAAACCCACCCGCACGGTTTCCACCGGGAAGTTTCAGTAAAATTCATGCAGCACTGAAGAACACTGAAACTGCATCAAATCAATATTTCCTGTTGGAAAATTTTTTCTTTGGGGCGTTTTCAGCCATTCCTACCAATCATATCATGATTTAAATGCTGTGACAGGGCTATGGTCGGCCTATGACAACTTGCCTGAAGAGCAGCTCCTTGCCTCTCTCCGTAGTCCTTACTGGGAGCCTGAACCCTGCCAGCCTGGACCCTGCCAGCAGGCAGAGCCCAGTTCCCCAGGCAGGTGGAGTCAGCCCCCACCAATCATAAAAGCTTTTATTCTAGTAACTATTAAAAACAATTTAATCAAATAGTCTAATAATCACTTACGCTTTGCATTTCCACCCAGAAGCTCAGTGTGCCTCATGCAGTATGTAAGCCTCGTTACTTCTTTTCACACACGGCCTTATGCCATGTAGTACTGCGGTGAGTTTTACCACCACCCTGCCCAGTCCCCACGTAGTGCCTCACCCGCCAGGCCGCGTGAAGGCAGGGACAGGCCATCGTGATGGACCTACCTGAGCTCGTACAGCCAGCAGCCACGCCGCTCAGCAGCAGCCGTCTCGCCGTCAAAGCCCAAGAATGGGTTCAGCTCAGTCCTCTACCAGTGAGGCAATTCCACTACTTTGTGCCCTCCGCAACAGGATTGATTAGAAAGCTCCTAATGGATAAACAGAATCAAAGCAGAAGTAATTTTATATTCAATTACCAATGACAAATCATATTTGTAAAACTGTTACTTAAGTTTTTACTAGAATTCATGTTTAAAAATTTCTTCTGAAATTGCAGCATTGTGAAAATTTATAAAGGCTTGGAATGTAAGAATATCCAGTTCATGTTAAGTGAGTTTTGTTTCTTAGATATAAAAAATAAGTAATAAAAATGAAAAGAAAAGGCAAATGCATTTAAACCATTCTATTTTAATAAATCTAAGGTTGTTATTGTAGTAATAGTGTTGCTGAAGTGAACACAGTTTTATTTTGAATGTGCCCCTCAATTTATAACGTTAAACCTTCAGTTCTATTGTATTTACCACCCACCAAATTTGATTTTATATGTAGCAGCTGAACACTGAAGCGCTGATATCTTTGTATTCAATTAAAGTAAGGAACTAGGAACACAAGCGTGTTTTTCACAGTCTGAAGTTAGAGTAATAACAAGACTCTTTTTACATTCTCCTCTTCTACTAAAATTATAATGGGGGACTATTGTGCTCTCCACTGACGAGCAGGTATTCTGTGCAAATCATTTTGCTCTTAGGATCATAACAACATCTGAAGTCATTTATTGATTCAATCCTGCCAGCAAAAGGGACTTTGCAGCACCTAAGCTATCACCTGCCTGCACTCATACCCCCAACAGGTGATGAACGGCAGGACTATCGCTGGGAGAAGCTCCTTTTGCAGTTGCTGATCCTGCAGCATCATCCACACCAGCGACTCCCAGTGAATCACGGAAGCCGTTCAGGTGCTTAAAGTAAAGGCTGCGTTTTGTTGACTATAGCTTTTTTGCTGTAACTGTCACTCAGATATTACACCAAGCTGCATGGCGAGATAGGTAACAATATTTTACACCCAGGCAAACTCAAATTGATTGTTTCTATGAAGAAATCCTACGGCATGTCTATAGCTTTCTGCTTCTTAATCAGATTTTAGTAGAGTAGATTTCCTCTGCTGTAGGGTAAGCCAAAACACAGCAGCACTTGTTCTGGCAACAGGACTCTTCGTCACTTTGTCCACGTGACTTCATCTCTAAGCCATTGCGGAGGAGATGCTGGCAGGGAGAAGCTCTGAACTCCCCTGCCTGGCTCCTGAGCACCTTTCCAGGGAAGCCCGAAGGAGTCTGGAGGGACCACTGGATGAAACCAGCAGAATTCCTCATGAAGGGACAGTCATCTTTGTTGTCTCTTAGTCCCCTTCTCATATTCCACTGTTAGCCAAATCTTCCTTTGCTATGAAATGCGGGAGCGTCGCTGATCTCAGGAGGTGATGGCGATGAACAGCAGATGAGACTCTGGTGCTTTAAGCAGACACTGAGGCTTACGGGACGGGTAATGACAGACTGCTTTTGATGTTGCTGGACCACGTTTTATAGCAACTCAAGAAATCCCGTAAGTGATTCCAGAACTGTGTAGCTGATGACGTTTAAGAACATTTCTCTGTGTAATTTTTTTAAATGACTAGCAACTCCATTATTTGAATAACCAAAATACTTTCTAATGGCTGCTTGAGGAGCCTTTAATTCATACCCTGCTGTTTGGAGTTAATCCATTCAGAAATTAAAACAGTTCAGGTCACCTTTAAAAGGAGAAAGCTGCAAAAATATCCAATTTTACACACTCAAAGCATATGTGATGAGACATATACTTTGAGTTGGTGTAAAAGTACTGTAGCATACTTGATGTGATGCGATATTCCTATCATATTTAAGCAACGTTCATCTCTGCCCTAAATCCTCTGGCAGAAATAAGTCCTGTTCAGCACTCTATTCTTAGATTTTTGTCAGGGTCTTTTTTCTCATTTTACTCATTAGACTGACATGTTTTCATAGTCACAGGGGCCAGTTTTGCTTCTACTGACAGCAAGCAAATGCTTTTGTAAATGACTGCTGTGAATGTGTTGGGCATCCTGGCCCCGTGCTCCCGCAGCGGAGCAGGCAGCGCTACTGCTTGCAGCATGCAGGCAGCGTTCAGGCAAACTCTGGGGCCCAGGGTCCCTCCCCAGGAACCTCCATATGCTGATGGCACGCTGACCGGCTTCTGAAAACGGTATGATCTTTAGAAAATACATGAGGGGCAGAAGCAAATCTTGGATGTACACAAACAAAAAGAAACCAAAAGAGAGAGATACTAAAACGTTCAGATCTCTGCTTCCAGCACAGTGACCTTCACTGTGGAGCTTCTGCCTCGGAGTAGTTCCTGACAATAGGCTGGCAACTGCCAGCCTGGTTGCCTTTAAAATGTCATTGGTCTAACATCAAATCAAGAGGTATAATTGCCTTTTTCCTTCCTCCTCCCCAGCCCCCAAATTCCAGTCCTGATCAGGCCCACACCAAACTGACGGCGTGTTTGTGTTCCCGTAAGAAGTCTGTAAAAGGTCATAAAAGCTTCAAGTTCAAACAACTGGATTGTTTTCAATATACACGATGACTTTTCTATTTCCCATCTGCAAGCAGTGGGCTGCACTGCCTTGAAGTTATTCCAGGATCCAGGTGATAGACAGAAGTCTAACACAGTGTTTGAGAAAGAACTGATTGGTCTTATGTTCACAAATTCAGGGTTAAAACTGTCAGACTGTGCTATCTCTCTGGTTTATTCCTCCTTACTCTGGGCAAGTGACATTTCCACCAAAAAGCTTCATATTCCTTTCCATGAAACTGATTAAAGGTAGAAAGCTTCTGCATTCTGCCTAGGCACAGTTCTCACTTTATGCAGCAAATGCATTTTTAATTGCCTTTAGTTTCTACTTTATCTACCTTTCTTATCTGATATTCTTTGTTAAATGATCTAACAGTATGAGACACTCATGCAAGACCATACAGAAAAAGAAGGCAACATATATTCATAATAATACAACAATAGCTCCTTTTCTAGTACACAGTGTTTACAATAAAATCAAGAGCAGTCAGAAAATCAGATTACTCCACACTAAAATTTATCTGAAATTTAAGGCATATAGCCTGTTTTAATAAAAGACATGATGCTGGCTGTCTAACACTTAGACAGGAGTGTAAGATGAGCAAGAGAAGACAACATAGGCAAATTGTCATCTGCCAGGTCCGAGAGCGGGTGGGGCTGCCATCCTGCAGCTCATCCCGCAGCAGAACGGAGCTGCTGCACCCCCCCCGCTCGGTGCAACCCCTGCTTATGGAAAGCGATTTAGCACTTTTATTGGGAAGAGGTTAAACGAGGTGGATCACCCAGAGGCAGAGTACCAGAGTAAAACCCAACTCAGCTCAATCTTGGGAGTTACAAAAATAGTCTGCTTTGCAGAAGTATACGCAGGGAAGCAGCCAAGCTCTGACTCCAAGAGGTCTCAGCAGCGCGTCTGAAGTCTCTCTACCTGCATGCTGTGGTTACTCCCTTTGAGTAGCATGTTTGTGTTTAGCTTACACCAGAATCTTTATAAACTATATTAGATCACTGTCTTGTAACATGTTATATCTTAAATTAAGACTTGTTCCTCTTCTGGGGAAAAGGCAATATAATCATCCTTTGAAAGAGATAAACATGTTGACAAAATTCAAAATACTCCACATTTGGGTCTACAAAATAATTTTAACAATTGTTTACCAACATGCTGATTCATCACGTTCTTAAAGTGATATCATTAATGGGGACGTAAAGCCAAAATATTATTAATAAAGACTGAAAAAAGAATGCTACTAAAAATGTAACTAAAAAGAACATTAAGTCCAAGAGAGAACAACACTGAGTTAAGAAATACCTTGTATTTCCCACTGGGCTCACAGAAAATAGTAACATCTCTCACATAGAAAATTGACATATATTTGACCTCAAAGAACTCCCAGCACCTCATATGGAAAAAAATCCATGTAAGAAACCAACAGATCAGACAAGATCTGCAGCAGCCTCTTAAATGCTTAGGCCTCAGTTTTGCAAGCGTTTCTGTGTGAGCTGCAATATAAGTGCCTCAGCAATCTGCCAGCTCCTGATCTAAAGGGTGAGGAGATGAACCTACTGTGCAAGACTTTAAAGAAGAGTACATATTTTCCATGTATAAAACCGAAGAGTTTGCTTTACTTTTTAAAAAAGCTAAGATTGTTTCTGCTTTTCTTTGTGTTATTTGCATTGCCAGGATCCCATCATGCCAGGCTCTCCACTAGTACAAAGCTAGAAAATTAAAAGAATTAGAAATTCAAGTCACACCTTGACTTTTCAAGAGAGACTCAATAGATGACTGTAGAATTAGTATAATTACTGCAACATCACAGATATTAAGCAAATAAGGCCTGATTAACTAGAGGTGGGGAAACCTTTTTTTCTTAAATAATGAATACTTTATAAAATATTGGAAGAAAAACCATTGCTGTTAAAAACTCATCTCTTGCCTTCTCCTGGTCAAGAGCTGAAGCTAAAGCTAGTATGAGAAAATTTTTGGTTAAACCCTGTAGCATTCTGTTTCCTGATTTGGCTGCTCAGTAGCATGCAGTAACAAGCCGCTATGGCCGAGAGAATTCCGCTCTTGCAGAAGAAGCGAGGAAGAAAGCGGAGCCAGCAGTACTTGCAGCATCCTCTGCAGCACAATGGCCTCTGTTTCCTGGCTTCACCACAATGCTTATCCACGGACGGGGGGTAACCTGCCTGTGCTCGCCTGGGGGCCTTCTGCTGCAACCAGTTTTTTTAATGACAGTTTAACATAAAAACATACATTTTGTTTTATATAGATCTATATTTCTCTATATATGTAGTAGATATATAGATACTCTATATTTAGAGTCGTACTTTAAATGATTTATTATTACCTTTATAAATGCTGCTTAAG